GCTCCGCCCGCCCGAGCACCCCACGACAGACTCTATCCTTTCTGGACGGAGCTGCCTTCCTGGGGAAGCCGGCATTGCCTAGAGCCTCCTGGAGGGGCGCTCCTCTACCCCGGCAGCCCTCACCTGCCCGCCTGCCCCTCAGCTGCCTCTGGAAGCAAAGTGCCTATCAGCAGCCTTGTGTCCTCTGGGGGGCCAGTGAGGGATGTGGACTAACCTTGGCCACCACCACTAAAGGAATGTGCCAGAATGCCGAAAACTTCCAAACGTGCAGGTTTCTTGTCAATGCTATGACCGTGCCTTGAATAAATAAGTCCTCCCAACCTGGCTGGCCTGTGCCTCTCTGCCTCTGGGCAGCCCAGCAGGCCCTTCCCTCCCCCAGAAGCAACCAGAACTCCCAAGGGATGAGCTTCCGGACGCCACCTCACCTTGCCTCATGTCTTTGGTTGCTGGGGCAGAGCTGTCTGGCCTCCTCTCATCCCCGAGGCCTTCCCTGGCTGCTGTCCCCACAGGGGAAGGCCTGATGAGGACTGCTTGGCCCACTGGGGAGACAGGAAGTGGCTGTCTCACAATGCCTTGCAGTAGGTGAGGACTTTCTGGTGCTTTCACTACCCAGGAGCCCTGGTCAGTGCTGAGCTGTGAACGGGCTGTTGACCTAGACTAGCGACTGGACTTTAAGACATGCAGGTTTAGCTGGGCTCGGTGGCTCAGCCTGTAATCCCGTGCCTTTGGGAGGCTGAGGTGAGTGGATTGCCTGAGCCCCGGGTTCGAGACCCGCCCAGGCAACTTGGCGAGACCTCATCTCTACAATAAATCAAAATGAGCCGGGTGTGGTAGCGCGCGCCTGTAGTTCCAGCTACTTGGAGGGCTGAGGCGGAAGGATCGCTAGAGCCCAGCAGGTCGAGGCTGCGGTGGCCGGGAGCAGCCACTGCACTCCAGGCTGCATGACAGAGTGAGACGCCAACTAAAAAAAAACCAAAAAACATGCAGGTTTCAATGAGGCCCCCAGAAAGAGCGACAGACAGGGCTCAGGTCGGTGGGGCGCTGGGGGGGGGGACACACAGGGGAGGTGGGAAGAGGCTGATCACCTCACCAAGAAAGTCAGGGGAGGAGGATGTGCCGTCAACTGCTAGCCTTATTACTGAATGGAGAGGACTGGGGGAAGTCAGGGATCGCGTGTGGGTGTCGGGTGGCCAGAGACTTCCTCCGCCACTGCTCCCTGTGAGGACAGAGGATGACAGTCTCAAGGACGGTCTCAACTGCCCCACGACTGTCTCCCACTGCGTCCCTCACTGGACCCTCAGGCTTCCACAGTCCATCCGTGAGCGTGGGTTCAAAGCCCTCACAGCGTGAGCCTGGGTACGGGTCCAGGGCCCAGCCTCCTGTCCTCCTCTCTTAAGACAATTATTTTCCAAGTCAAGGCAGATGAAATCTGCAAGAGCTTCAGGGGAGAATCGAGAAGCCTCCGTGACCGAGTGGGAGGGGCTGTGTCCTGCTGCTGCCTCTGGGGGCTCCTCCCAGGGCCCGGCAGCCTCCAGGGTCCTCCGGATGGCAGCCCAGGGCCATCCCACAGCTCAGCTGACCTTCCAGGGGCCTTTGCAGAGACAGATGGCAGAGAAAACCGAAGAGGGACGGTAGTGCCCAGGAGGGGATGTCCTCCAGGGAGGCTGGAGTCCACCCTCCTCACACTCAGCTGGCAGGAGGACTGAGACCCGAAGGTGGACGGGGCAGGGCTGGGGCGGGGCAAGAGGGGGCTGGCTTGAATGGACTGTGTCTGAGAGGGCACTGGAGCACGTGATAGCACCGCAGGGCTCAGGACAAAGCAGAGGGCCTGGGGCTCCCCAAGCCTCTGCTGGCGGCCAGGGGCAGCTCCCAGTCACCCCCTGGAAGCCGTGGCACTGGGGCCACTCAGGACTGTTCTGAGGAACCTTGCTGGCTGACTCCAGGCTTCCAGGTCAGCTCTGGGGGAGGCCTGGGGAGGCCAGGGGAGCCTGATTTGTGGAAAGGCAGGTGCCCGGGTATTCTCAACACAGGCTGCTTTCTGAGCATCTGACAGTCGCTTGGCCAGGGCAACCAGCAGCCTGGCATTGCTCGACCCTCGGTTTTTGGGTTTTTCCATCCCAGCTGCAGAGAGGCCTATCCTGGGAGATTTTAAATATCCCAATGTCCAGGCCCCGTCCCCAAACAAACCAGGGGCCGGGGCACCTCTATTTTACAAGAGCCCCTCAGGCGACTAGTGTGTGGGGAGGGGTGGTGAGTTAGGAAAGTAGCCCCTGTCTCAGCTGCCGCCACGCCCTGGGAGACCTCAGTACTTCAGTCTCCCGCTAACCAGCCATGGCTACCTATAGCCTCTGTCCTGATCTCTCCCTTCACAATAAATGTGACATCTGTGTGGGCCAGGGCCACTTCTGGCTACCTTGTTATCTTCAGCAAGGATCTGAAGAAGCTACTCTTTCCTCCCCTCCAATCAGGGGCCTAAAGTGGCTTCCAGGACAGCCTGCCCCTTTCTGTGCAGTAGGACTTTACAACGACCGCCATGAACACGCACATTTAAGCCAGGTGCGGTGGCTCACACCAAGTGGGAGGAGTCCAGGAGTTCGAGACCAGCCTGGGCAATATAGCAAGATCTCGTCTCTACAGAAAAATTTAAACATTAGCTAGGAGGGGTGACGCACCTGTAGCTACTTGGGAGGCTGAGGCGGAAGGACTGCCTGAGCCCAGGAGGTCGAGGCTGTGGTGAGCCATGATCGAGCCACTCCAGCACGGGGAAAAGAATGAGACCCTGGCTAGAAAACAAACAAACAAGCCAAAAACAACTACACACGTTTATACAACGGGACAGCAGGGAGGGAGACAGCAGAAGGGCACGGGCGGTGCCTGGAGGTGGGGAGAGGGCGCTTTGCACTGGAGGGTCCAGCCCAAGCCCTGAGAGTGAGACGTGGGAGGAGGCAGAGGGTCTGCGGGAACACGCAAGGCCAAGGACCGGCGAGGAGGCTAGAGTGGGTGCACGGGGGAGGGGCAGAAGGAGGAGGGGGCTGTGCAGGCCTCACCAGGACACCCGGTTTCACTTTCTTGATCTGGGAAGCTGCTTGAGGATTCTGGGCAGAGTGGCGCTATGCCCTTACGGTTTTGGGGCGGTCTTTTTGCTTTTTTGTTTGTTTGTTTTTTGAGTCAGAGTCTTACTCGGTCCCCTAGGCCAGAGTATGGTGTCACACTCCCAGCCACCGCAGCTTTGACCTGCTGGACTCCGGCGATCCTTCCGCCTCAGCCTTCCAAGGAGCTGGAACCACAGGCACGCACGACCATATCTGGCTAATTTTTTTGATTTATTGTAGCGATGAGGTCTCGCCAAGTTGCCCAGGCAGGTCTCGAACCCGCAGGCTCAGGCAATTCGCTAACCTCGGCCTCCCAAAGCTCAGGATTACAGGCTGAGGTTAGCGAATTGCACCAGGCTGGAGTGCAGTGGTGCAATCATAGCTCACTGCAGCCTTGAACTCCTGGGTTCAATTATTTCTCCCACTTCATCCTCCCGTGTAGCTAGGATTACAGGTGAGCCCATGACTGACTCATTTTTAAGTTTTTAAATAGAAACAGGGTCTTGCTATGTTGCTCAGGCTACTCTCGAACTCCTGGGCTCAAGTGATCCTTCTGCCTCAT